ACCAAATAATCTAAAACCTTTTTTAAAACAACAACATCCTTCTCACAACCACTAACACCCACAACTTTATTATTATTTTAATCAGCAAATTTAAATAATTTATTGACCATTCCTTCATCTATGTCATTGATGTAAATAAAAAAAATGCAAAGGTCCTAATACTGAGCCCTGTGGTACCCCACTTGTAACAGTAATTGAATTTGACTGAACTCAATTTATAACATCCCTTTACTTTCTTCCAGCCATCAAGTTTTCTATCCAATGAGCATCCTTATTTCAGTGATGTGATTAATATGAAAATAAAATAAAAACAATTCAAATTTTCATTTAAAATAAAACAAGTAATACTACACTGTAATGGAATATTGACAATACCTTACGTTACATCAAATATCCTTGTAAGTTTCTTGACTGGCTTACTGCAGTCATCATCTGACATGGATGTTGTTTGAACTTCCAAATAAGAGCTAAGAAACACTTATAGTTTCAAACATAAAGGAAGATGAGAAAGTTTTGTTTACTTTTCATTTAGTTGTCTGATCAACAAAGACTCATTTATCTGAAGAGTGATTTCATTCTCTTCCAAGCAGAGAATGCTTTAGTTTGTGTCATTAGCTCTTCCATCATACATGTTTTTGCAATGTAGGTAATTGCTTGACTGATTTCCTTCCTTTGGTTTGAGATGTTCTTTAATTCATGCTTCTAGGAGACGTATCATTGTACCAATTTAGACCTGTTTACAAAAGGTACATGTGAATTTGTGAACAATGTATAATTGCCATATCATTAGAATTGTATCTTTCACCTTGAAGAAATCCTTTATGTGTACTTTGTATTTAAATATCGCCTTCAGCAATATTTGTGGATATGATGTTTTTTAAATGTGTTTCTTTATTATGTAACTTGAAGAACCCATGAAGGGTAACACATTAGCCAAAGGACATTTAGGTACATTGAATGATTGAACTATGGGGTTATTCACCTTTAGCAAGTACTTGTTCACTATCTTGGTAATGAATTTTTCAGGGAAACAGTGCTTCTTAAGAATTCCACAAGTTCACATTCAATGTGTGTTTAGAGCTCTGTGGCCATGTTTCATTCATAAACTTTACTGCCTAACATGAGGAGGCATTTATGTTGGTTTTACTGTCAGAAGGCTGGGAAATTATTTAACAGAATGCCTTAATTCAAGGTTCAAGGACAATTCAAACATTTTTCATCATGTTGTGTAAATGAATGTGATTTGATCTCTTCCCCCAGTATGTTCAAACTAACAGATAAAGCTAAAAACAATACTACACTATGAACGAAGGATACTTCTAATTCTTCAAAAGAAGCCCAAATTAAACAACCAAGAAAGGGCTATTGAACTGTTATTCACAATTTAGGTAATTTAATTTTATTTAAATTTTCACAGCTTTGCTGTATAATTTTCACTTATTTTGGAGATCAACAATATGAAAAACATATTTCTCGAAAATTTTAACTTCCAAACAACTAAAAACGGATTCTATAACAAGTTTATATTATTAGAGCTACAAATGCCCTTAACAATACCAACTGTAATGAAACATAACAAATGTCTAGGCACATTATTATAATATCTTGAAAAAGTCAAGGCACAAAAATTTACCATGGCAGTGATTAATTGATGTCCATATTGTTGTATTAGCTTAGAAATAATCATTTACTGGTTGAAGTCTTAATTGGATTGTTGTACACTTCAACTGTGTTGATTTTCTGTTGATTGCTGTAAAATTCTTATCAGTGCTATAAATGTACCTACCAATTTGGGCTGCAAATTTTGATTTCATTCCTGTAAGCCGCATGCTCAATCCTTTTTTGGCCAGACCTTTTTTTCACAACTAAGGTGTTTTTTATTAGATTTACATTAACTGTTCTTAATGTAATACATCTCATTTAAATATTTGAGCCTTTTCATACAGTTTGCTCTACATTTGTTTGAACTAAGTTTGAATTCTATTTTTGTTGATTCACTAAATTTTAATCTTACTATAGAAAGTTTGTGATATACATATTTTTATGGTTTTATATTTTTTATCTTGTACTGAGAAAATAGCATTTTTTGTCTCTGTAGAGGATTGTTTATTTGAAGAAGAAATCTTTGGACATAACAAAACGTTTACCCCAGATTTTGACCCATGCCGAAAGTGCATTTGTAAGGTATTTTTTATTTTTTTTGTAGACATTTTATATTGAATTCTAGGAAAATGTGAAAGTATTTACGATTTATATAGTTTTGTATTGTGAATTTGTATCAAATTATGTAAAATTTTTGTACTTTAAATCTACTCATATGTATAGATTATTGAAAAATTTGGTTTCTAACATCTATAATTTGAGTGAAAGTCTACTAGTTTATGAAAGGGTAAGAATATATTGCATTTACTTGGTTGGCTGTTCTGTATAAAAGCCTTTCTACTCAGAACCTTGCTGATCATTTATAACTTGTGAAAAAATAAATAAAATGGTTAATGTATTTTCATTTTTTCATACAATGTTAAAATTAAAATCAACCAGTAAGGGCTCTTTCTAGAAACTTTGTAATATCCAAAGCAAGCAGATTCTTCTCTATTCGAGAAGGCAGAGCACTTAGATTTTGAGCATTTGGCAATTCAAAGAAAAATAAAATCAAAATTTTGTAATTGTTAAAGGTGACAGACTGATTTCTTTAATTCATATTAATAGTTACTTCTCCCAAGAAAATAAAAAAACAAGAATCACTGCTTTCATTACTATAATAAACTAACAAGTATGAAAGATAGTTACATGGAATTTAGTGCATTTTCTTTCTTTCTTTTTCCTTTTTTTTTTTTTGCAAGTAAACATTAGCTAAATCTTAACAAACGTTTTTAATATTGAGAATGCATTACAGACCATAAATGGTTTTTGGATAGGTTGCTGTGCTGTCTGTCATTCATCACTTGCATAAGAAAAATATATATAATGTGACTTTGCTCAGAATATTTCTCACTTACATATAAAGCTTATTTTCACTCACCTTTCTCTCCCTAATAACTTTAGAAGTATTGATGCAATTCAACCATAATGGACCTCCCATTAGCTGTTTAAACATATCTTCTTAAACTGTTCATGCCCCGAATTGCTTGTACTCCATAACTTTAGTAATTATAGTGTTTCTAATAACATATGAATCACATACAAAAATATAAGCAAAAATACCATTGATATTGCAGTTAATCATACTAATTACTTCTGAGATTTCTTACATATTTTTACATAGAATATTAGTGATTTCAAACAATCTTTATTTTAGTCACTTATTTACACTGAATGCTATAACAAGCAGAAACATAAAATTACTCATAGAGCTGGGCAATTAACTTGATTAATCAATTAGTGTTATGTGAAATAATCAATTACTCGAGTTTACTGTTATATCTGTTAATGTCATGAAAATAATTAGCTAATCAAAATTTGTTTTTGATTATTCAAACTAGTCAACTACTCAAAGTATTGGCATTGCGATTCCTTATTATTATTATTTTTTAAATCAAGATTGTTCAGTTTAATGATTAGTGTTATGACTCACAAAAACAATCAACAAATTGAAATTAGTGTTTCCTATTATTATCATTTTCAGTTATTCCAACTATCCACATTTCTTGCAAGAATAATCAATTAATAAACCCAACAATTAACCAGTTAGCAAGATCTACTAATTGCCCATCTGTATTTACTCAATACATAAACCACGCCAGTAGTGAATGGTATGAAAAACTAGTCAGTAATTTGAAGGTTAATCCCATTTGAAAGATAAGAGATATGGCTGAGATAACTTATCTGTTTTCTTCAGGACTTTATCTTTAACTAAACAACATAGATTGACTTGTAAATAGAACAAGGTTAAGGAAAGGTAAAAGGTTTACAAATAGACTGGCCAAGTCAAATTATGTGGTCAAATTGCTTCCAGGGACAGTAGTAACAAGGGTGTAACTTGGTAAAACAATTCTCTATAAAATGCAACAAAAAACTGGGAAGAATGATAAATGGAATTCGTAACAAATTATATCTTTAGGGAAAATAATGTGCATATCTATCCTATGGCATTTTAATAAACTCCATAAATCAATATTGTTATAGATCCTAAACATGGAGGCTAATTTATGGTTATTTCTGTCATAATCCATATGAACTTTAAAACTTTCAGTTCTCAAAAACAAGAAATCACATAATAAACATGTCTTTCAAGTGATATTTCAAAATTTAGAAATACTTATAGATTACGTCTTTGTAAGTTATTTAATTTGAAACATTATTTATTAGAGAAATGGGTCAGCACTTGTCTAAGAAGTTTACAGATATCCTTTTTGTTATCAGTAAAGTTACAAAAAAAGCACAATTATGTGTAAAGTCTATGTGTAGTATTGTTAATGGGCTACCACACAAACCATCTTCATCAAACATACACCTGACTTTGCAGGTTACATTAATTGGAGCAAGTTAAAATGTAATATGGTTGTGTAAATGTTTTTATAGTGTGTAAAATGAAATGAATAATAAACTGTTGAACCATATTTGAAGATTTCCCCACTTCTTTACATATCTTCAACCTTTAATATTTTCGTTTTAAATTATTATTGTGAAGTAGGTAACACTTGTTATTGATATCACTTTTTCTTTTCAAAGTAATTAATTTTTAACCATTATTCAGTTTTAACTTTCAGCCCTTCTCTTTTGTTTATATAATTTTTCCATGTAATTTAAATCAATTATGTTTGTTTCAGAATGGTCGAGTTTATTGTGATGCTGTGGTGTGTCCAATTCTAGAATGTGAAATTAGTTCTCAGGTCATTCCTGTTGGACAATGCTGTGCTGTTTGTCAGAAGACCAAGCCCACTATGTGTCTATACAAGGGAAAACACTTTTACATTGGTCAGCTATGGCTACAACACAGCAAAGAAACTTGCAGGAGTTGTCTGTGTAAAGTAAGACTTAAGTTTGTATGTTGTTTTAATGTATTTCTGCGATATATTTAATGTATGATCAGTGACACCTAATTTTTATAACTGGTTAAAAAATGGTGCAAGTAGTTGTTTATGTTGAAATGTTTTTTAATTTTTGTCTTCTTTTTCACCCTTATTTGTATTAGTATTATAATTTTTGTCAATCATTTACATATCTGTTTTCAGTATTAAAGAATAATTTTGAAGTAAAATTTTTTATGTAAAACACTGCATTGTTAAATCAAAAAGGAAATTAGTTTATAAATTAATTATTAGATATTAATTACCTAAGCTATGTAAGTATTAAAAAAATTAGTTAACTTCTTTGGGCACAAGATATTAATAGAGACTGTCAATCTGTTTAATAAAATGTTGTGCCTCGAGTGGGCTTATGGTCAAAACACAATAAAGAAATGTATTATAAGAGTGCTGGATACAGTTAACCTCATTATTTTATTATTTACATTGACTACCACTTTTAGAAGAGTACTGTCATGTTCAATTAATATTACATAAACCATACTGTATACTGAACTACAAATTTATTCTCTTATACTTCACAATCATATTACTGTTTAATATAAACTACTGGGAATTAATGGATCTTGCCATTCACTGCACAACATGATTTATTTTTTAACCATTTCATATAAGTCCCAGCTGCAATGGATTGGTTAAAAGTATTGAAGTTAAAAAAATGTAAATTGATGGAAATACTATTGAAGATTTTCATGTGTTATTAAAATTCAGGGTTGTTGTTTTTACAGCTTTTTTATTTATAAATAGAGATTATAGTGGATAAGGATGTAAAGAACTTGCTGTTATTGAAGCTTGGATGTCTGAACTTCATCTTACATCAGTGTTATAACACCAATATTCTACCAATTAAATAACCGGGGCATGAAACCCAAACTGACAACTTCCCATTCCTAATGTCACAGTTTCTAATACGAAGTACACTTGATTGATTAAATGTTTTTGTTTTTTTTTCTTCTGCAATTGGTTTTGATTTTCATATACTATAATGAGTTCAATTATTAAACTTCATCTCATCCCAGGAAGGAGGAGTTGTTGAATGCAGGGTGGTGGTTTGTTTTCCACTGTGCTCTTATCCAGAAAAAGTACCTACAAATTGCTGTCCTGTGTGTTCTGGATGTCTGTATCTGAATCAAACCTCACTTGACAAACACAAGTGTTACATGCATTTGAAGGCTCAGAGAACACTTCACCATCAGCATATTTGGATTGTTTCATTCTAATTTAATTCACTTACTTTGTAATATATTCTTCAACATGATTGATCCTTTGCATTTTATTTTTGTAATAGCATTAAACTAATAATATAATACAGTTGTAAGATAAGTTCTAATAATCACTGTCCACTTGTACATTTCCAATGATTTTAGTGAAGTTCAAGATTCATTAATGTACACATAGCCTCTTGGAAAGATATTTTAAGGAAATCTAATTTTTTTCAGAATGCGACATAATTTTTTTCTGGAAACAATTTTTTAGACTTATTTCTGCTGAGTTTGGCCCAAGTAAGCTCAAAATTTGCTCAAGTTTCAGCCGGAATATTTAATTTTACCTTAAATTATGTTGTTTGAGAGGTATGGAGATTTATAAAAAACAACATATTTATTTATCTATCTAGAATATATCTATCATACTTAAATGGTGCATACTATACTTTTAGTTTTGGAACTTGTTATTTTCTCACTCTAACAAAGTTGACCAAGTAAGTCAGTTCTGAGTTGCAAATAATTTGTGGTTATAACACAAGACATATCATTTAATACATTACAGTCTTTGTTATTGCTCATCTCATAAGAAATTTTTCACCTAGTAGGTACTTAATTATCTAAATCTTTAATTGTTGTGGTGTGTGCTTGTACAGAAGTCTTGCCTTACTCTGCTGAATGTGAACCACATTTTGTAAATTAAAACTTGTATCTTCTTTCACGGGTTGAATGTGTTCTTGAGAGTATTCCATTATGAACGTGATCACAGCTTATTTACAGTTAATGTGTACTGTTTGCGTAGTCTGCTTTGAACAGAGACAATCATATACATAATTATTTAAGCTTTTGTTGTCAGTGATGTCACAAATTTTGAACGTTATGTTAATCACAATTATAAAGATTAGCTAATTTTAATATCTAATTTATTAACGTGTTGGACATTTTCACCTTTGTAGGTTCAGAAATAGTGATGTTTTTAATGTTACGTAGAAAATGTTAATGAACAGAGATCTCTACTCAGTTATTGAATCAATTAATTTAACAAAATACTAGATCTTTGATACATTAAACTTTCACTAACATAATTAGATATTCATTTTACAACCGTGTGATTTAGAATGGTGAATCTTGTATCACTTATTCTAAAAGGATTATGTCTTATTATATTGTATGTTTTTATAAATATTCAGATTAATCAGAAATATAGAGTTTATAAAATTCTTTGTGTAAATACCCTGGACTTCCAACTAAAAATTTGATTATACTTTAGGTTTTTGGTATACTGTACAAACATTACATTTCAAGAAGATGAAAACAAAGACATTATATGTGGTTAAAAAGTTAAATTGTGCCAACTTAAAACATTATGTGAGCCTTATTCAGTGACACTGTACAAAATGTAGAATACTAAATATTAAAATAGGCTGGTTTGTTTATTTTTCTTTTTAAATTTGGTGGTCTTCATTCTATAATGCCTATTTCAAATACAAGTTTCCCCAAGTCAAACTATTATTCACTTCTTATTTATAAGAAAGTAACTATTATGTTCTTATTCTGCCCTAAGTTTATTAAAGATACCTAAGACAAATCTCAGATTCTTACAGTACTGAACAAAAGTCCAAGTACTAATTCCAATTTTTTACAAAAGCTGCAAAAATATAGTATTATTGTAGTTTAAATATTGTACTCAAGATATATCTATGAATTGACAATATTAGTTTAACTTAGACACTGTCAAGTCAAAATGCAAGGTGATATTCATGTGAATAATAAAAATACTTTTATCCATTGTACAGTTTGTGTATCACATAACCTCTAGGACTGTTTTTTTCAGTATCCTTATATAATGGGTCTAGTATTTACTCTCCTTTACCATGAACTTTTATTAAATCAACAAAGTAGGATAAAATGAATAGTTGATAACTTTGACATCAAATTCATAATATTGTGTTGAATGGTTCTCTGTAAAATTTATAGAATTATCTATTAAGATATTCACCAGCACAGAGTACATCTTGGTAAAGATAAAATCACTGTGAACAAATAATGAAAAGAAGTTTACGAGTTCTTGCTGATGGAGAGTGCTTACAAAATGTAGGTATAATGGACTGTTTCAGTGCAACTGTTATGTGAATGAAATTTCAATATGTCAGAAATAAAATAATTTCGTCTATACAAAGAGAGGTTGGGTGCACTTTTTCATAGCACAATGGCTATCAGTTTCCTCTGTGTAAATGTTTATAATTTTTAAAGTCACTTTAATTATTGTATCATGGTGAACAAGTAGTCATGGTGAATCAAATATTAAAGTCAAGAATATGAAGAAAAAAAAATGTTTCTTATTGCATAACTTGTTAAACTATTGCTTATGTTGGTAAAAAGATACAGATTCAAATCATGGCCTCCTCCTTTGTGGTATGTAACTTGATAAGAAAAGCATTTGAACAAAACAGCATCATGAAGATAAAAACTACTTAAAATAAATTCCTTAAAAGTATTGTCTAGCACTTTCATTACACAGATGAACAGGAAATTCATTAAACCTTAATTGTATAACCAATACTACAATCTACAACCATAAAGAAATATAATTGCTCTATTAATCTGCTGATGACTTTTCTTTAAAGGTAAAGACTTCAATAAACCTTACTTTTAAGTGAAGACCAACAATTTACAATGGTCAGATGAGAAAGTGAGAACAAGTATAAAAAGAAAAATATCTTTATGAAAATTATAGAAAGTAGAAAATAAAGGCAATTTGTTGTAAGTGAACCTTACATACTTTACAAATTTCCTCCAGAAATAATGTATTGAAAAGCATAAAATATCCTCATTTGTAACAAACAGATATTTTTAATCTCTTCAAATTTATTAAGCTTAAAATAATTATTTTGGATTATTTTATGATGTTTGTCATATTTAACTATAATTGTTATTTCTTCATTATTTGCTGTTTTTAATAGTTAGTGGTTGTTTGTTGTAGTTTTTTTCACGAATATTTTGCTAAAAAGACTTTATAATTTTCAGTAAGCAAAGAAAAAAGTAAGTTGTGTGTGTGAAGTAGGACTTGGTGTTAAGTCTGTGCTAGATAACATAACCATCGCACGCTTCATAATTTTTGAAAGCAGAAACAGTAAGTTTATTCACAAAGACGTTATACATCCAGGAAGGTATTTCTAAGCTTAAATATGTATTAACTTGCACTTATGTAAATACTTCAATTAATAAAAAAGTTTTTGCTTTGTAACCTTAGAAAGTGAAACATAGTCAAAATATTATAAACTATGTTTTCAATAATTTAATTACTATCTTTTTTTATTTTAGCATTGTGTACATTCTTTCATTGCATAGCTGTGATACATATAATTAACAGCAGAACCTGATTCCACACATAATTAAAGTAACACAAAATCTATTCCTTAACACTTTAAGTAGTTGAAAGAACATTTCAAAATGAATTGGCAAATAAATAATAAAGGTATGAATGTAAGCATACTGTATGTATGCAGTCAAGTTGTTCAAGTTTCATTGATAGGATTTATGATTATTCATTGTTGTTGTACTTCCTTTTACAAGTGGTGTGAGATAAAGCATGCTTGGATTTTTCCCCCTCTAAAAGCTTTATATTCCATGTTTGTTTATTATATAATTAGAGCTCATCCTGAAATAAAAAGCTATAGCATATTATTTATTCTGCCTTTAGTCAACACTTCCATTGAAAATGATAGGGCTCAGTGGAACTTTGGCTTAACATGGACTTCCTGTCATTGAATGCTTTTGCTTCAGAATTGTTCAGATTAGTTTCCTTCTTAAATGTTAGTTCACCTAAAGAATCAAATAGTGATTCATTTTAGGATCATCAAGTATATATATATATTTGTTTAAAACAATTTTAATTGAATAACAAGATGTTATGACTTTTTTGATTGAAACAAAAATAAATAAAAGCTTTAGACATGTATTAAAATGTTCATGATTATTAAACCCAGTGAATTTTTCAATCAGCCAAAATAATTATATTTAACACATATTTTTTAATTAATCATTTAATAACTATGTGTATGCTAAGCCTTAAATTTTATATATTCTTCATGATAAAGAAGAATGAACCATTACTCTGAAATCCTGCTTTTGTAGTTGCATTGCTTTCTTTCTCCAAGGTTTTAAATCATGCTTCATTTTATAATGTCCATGTGGTATTTGTAGGGTGGAAATGTAACCTGCACAAAGAACCAGTGTAACCTTCCCTGTCAACACCCCTATCATCAACTAGGACATTGTTGCCCTGTATGCAATGGTAAGTAAGGAAATACATATTTTTACAAGCTTGCTTGCCTGCTTCAATTATATTGCTTAAACAATCTGTTTTGGTAAACTTTTTGGTCTTTAAATTAAAGAATTAAAAAGTTATTTGTAACAACCTTGGTACTGTTAACAAATGATTTATTCATGTGTAAAATTAATGTATTATAATCAAACTTATCTTACACCTAACTGTATAATTAAAAACAAATGCAGACAGTATACAGTACATAGGGTTGATTGTGTCATATTCAAACGATTTTGAATATGCAAATCAGAATGTCAGGTGTCATACACAGCTAATATAAAGTCACAGTGGAATGGCATACTACATTTTGACATTGTTCACTATTTTGTAGGGAATGGATGCCATTAAAAATTTATCACTTATGTGACAGCCTTTCCAACACAAAATACTCATACACTTAAATCATAAAGATGTGTTCACTTTGTGGAATTAGAATTTCCAAGTCAGAGATATCTCTTGTACTTAAATGACATTGGAAAACAAAGAAATATAGGTCAACTTGGGGCACTGTGACCATCCATTATGATATTTTGCAACAACTCATACCCCATATCTTGTAAGTGATTAGAATACAATGGCAAAAGCCATCCATTTAACCCAGGCAACAGTATGCAAAATAATCATAAAGGGTTTTTGTCTAGAAAAGTGACACAAATTCCTTTCACAATGTATCTCTTCACCTGTCATACACCTCAAGCAGCTGGAGATGGCAAATGGAAAACATGCTACTGGTGTACTTCTGAAAAGGTACTACCTCCTATCACCAAAGCTATCCCAACCTTGATTTTCCCTCTAAGCATTGCTAAAAATTTTTTTGGTAATACCACACCAGTCTATTATACCCCTTTATTTTTGTGCTTATTCATAACATGTGTATCATGTGACTACCCTCCACCAATCATACTGTGCCACCTGTACTAGCACAGGTAGCTCTCTCTACTATTCTAGCACTATCCTCACTTTCTTGATTGGCATTACAGTGTATAGACATGTGTTTACTTCACTCCACGTGGTTGCTTTTTCCTTGTGATTTCATTTCAGTCTTTCACCAGTTTAAACTCAAAGTGTTTGCTTTTGAATTTTAGTTTTGTTTTTCAACGAATTCTTCCATGATTTGAATTGTAATTTGAAATATGAAATCAAATTTTATGATGGAATATGATTAAGTTCCTGCCAATATTGAGGATAGTGATGTTACAAGTCCCCAGCAAAGTAGGTTGATGATATCTACCGAGGAAGTTCAAGTCTTAATTTGCAGAGAGTTGGACATATTTACTCAGCAGTTGGTTCTTTCTCCCTTTCCCCCTGAACAAGGTTCTGAGGAAGAATTTATTCAGGGTGAAGATAATTTGGACTCTATTTTTCCAGCCCCAGCCTTTTTTGGTCAGTCACATAATGCTAACAGTCAGGAGAGTTTGCCGACCTCACCGTTCGTACACCTTGTTGACCAAGTGTGTCAAATTTTAAATCTTTATCCTTAGCCATTGATTGCTCTCTTACCTTGTTGGGTGAAGAACCTCATTCTGATTATTATGTTTTTCCTCCCTCACCCGACATCCATGTTCATGCTAAACATTTTGTTGATCAAATGCTGTCAGGTGCGGGCATGCCCCTTCCCCCTGGTCGTTGGACCAATATTATTTGGCTTACCAGTAAGCCTCGATTCACTTGTTGGATTCTCAACGGACTGCATAAGGCACAATCCAGAGGAGGAGGGAAGAAAACGAGTGAATACGATAGGGGGAGGGAACCTGAACTAAAGGCAAAGACCCTCTTACAGAACCAGTAGAACCCACAGATCTGTCATGAAGATACACCAAATGGTTGAGAACTGCTGCAACCTGGCCCCACCTGTCCTGGAAAATACAACCTGTCACCTATACTTCTGACCCCTGGAGGAATGTGAAAAATGAGGGTAAGGACTGGAACACCTGGAACGGGGTAAGGGACAAGGAGAGGAAGAAGAGGCATGGGGAACACGAACCAGTGAAGTTTGGGCGGGAACAGCCAGACAAGACAAGGAGGAAATGTAGCCTTGCTACATCAACCCTAGATTCCAAAGACTCAGGATGACCCACAAAAATGGTTTCATGCAGAAATGGGGCATGTCAAAGATCCCTCAAAAAAGACAGGGGGATATACACCTCCTCAATAATGCATTTCTCCTCAGCAATTCCTAACAACATAATAACCAGGTCTTAAAAGACAGTGCAGATGCCAATAAATGGGCCAGAGTGCATCACTGGAGGGTTCTGAGTTCATCAGAAAACTGATTATGTTACTGGGGAAACTGAGATTGATTAAAGTAGTTCAAAGCCCCCAGATCCAAGCTCCACAATCTTTGTGGGGACAACAAATATATGGGTGTAAAATCCCAGATGAGTGGGCACGACCTGTTTAATAGCTCCTTTGTGTAGGAGGGCTCAAACTGGAAGATTGGAGACCCATCATAGATATGTCCTGGCTGAATACCTTTCTGGAAACACCCCAGTTCACCATGAAGTCCTATCTTTTTCTTTGGTGGGTTTGTTCTCTGGGACTCTGGATGACAAAGTTTGATGTAACAAATGCCCATTTTCATATTCCCATAGTTCCAGGGTCACATCTTTTCTTAGATTCATCCATGAGGGCTGTGTCTCAGTTTCATGCACTGCTGTTTGGTTTGGCTTCAGCTCTTTTTGTGTGCTGTCAACTGGTTTGCTCATTTGTTAAACATCTTCACTCTCTAGGTCTTCAGACTCATCATTACCTGGATGACTGGCTTCTGTTTGCCTCTTCTCAGGCCCAGTCAGTCTTGCATACCTGATTACTTCTTTGAGATGTTGCTTAGGTGGAGTTCCTTATCAAGTTGGAGAAGTCCCTTCTCACCCATACTCAATATCTCATTCATTTAGGGGTTCTTTTCAATTCCCATCTCAGTCAAGCCCAGCCTTCTCCACTTCAGCTTGGGGATATGAAATGGGCAGTCACGAAGGCAGTACATTCACCTTCTCTCACTGCGTAAAAGGTTTTATCTCATTTTGGGAACCTGGGCTTCCTTGGAAGTTCTCATTCCCTTAGGTTGGGCACACATGTGTTCCCTTTAGTGGAATTTCTCCCATGATCTCTTGGATCGTTCTATTGCTCTCCCTCCTGGAATCAGGGCTGACCTTGCATGATGGCTTAAATCTTTCGACATGGGGTCGGGCAATTTGACCGAGTCACGTGACCTTGTGTACTCGTTTAAAGTTAACATAAATTTAATACTTATAACTCTCTATATATTAGGTATATCTTCATGAAATTTGGCAGTCTTTCAGTTAATATTACAAGTCTTTCACATACAAAA